GCTCAGTCGCCATGGATACAGAGTGGAAAGATTGAGGAGAATATACTTTTTAGCAAAGAAATGGACAGAGAAAGGTACAAAAGAGTTCTTGAAGCATGTTGCCTAGAAAAGGACCTTGAAATTCTTGCATTTGGCGACCAGACGGTAATAGGAGAAAGAGGAATCAATTTAAGTGGTGGACAGAAGCAAAGAATTCAAATTGCTCGAGCCTTGTACCAAGATGCTGATATTTACTTGTTTGATGATCCCTTTAGTGCAGTTGATGCTCATACAGGTTCTCATCTCTTCAAGGTAATTCTTTTTCCTAGTTACTTTCGATCTGCAAATTTACATGTAACTGTCTAAACCCACCGCTAATAGATGTTGTCCTCTTTGGGCTTCCCCTCAAAGTTTTTAAAACGTGTCTGCCAGAGAGAGATTTCCACACCTATAAAGAATGTTTGTCCCCCTCTCCAACCGATGTGGGATCTCACAATCCACCCTCCTTCGGAGTCCAACGTCCTTGCTGACACTCGTTCCCCTTTCCAATCGAGGTGGAATCTCACAATCCACTCCCTTCGGGACTCAATGTCCTCGCTGGCACTCGTTCTCATCCCCAATTGATGTGGGATCTCACAATCCACCTCCCTTCAAGGCCCAACGTCCTCGCTAGCACACTGTCTGATGTCTAACTCTGATATCATTTATAACAGCCCAAGCTCGCTGCTAGCTAATATTGTCCTTTTTGGGCTTTCCCTTTCGGGCTTCCCTCAAGGTTTTTAAAACGCGTCTACTAGGGAGAGGTTTCCACACCCTTATAAGGAATGTTCGTCCCCCTCTCCAACCGATGTGGGATCTCACAATCCACCCTCCTTCGGGGCCCAGCGTCCTTGCTAACACTCGTTCCTCTCTCCAATCGAGGTGAGATCTCACAGTCCACCCCCCTTCTGGACTCAGTGTCCTCGCTGGCACTCGTTCTCCTCTCCAATCTATGTGGGATCTCACAATCCATCCCCCTTCGGGGCCCAACGTCCTCGTTGGCACACTGTTCGGTATCTGGCGCTGATACCATTTGTAACAGCCCAAGTCCATTGCTAGCTGATATTGTCCTCTTTGGACTTCCCCTTTTGGGCTTCCCCTTAAGGGTTTTAAAACGCATCTGCTAGGGAGAAGTCTCGACACCCTTATAAAGAATATTTTGCAACCCTCTCCTACTGCTATGGTCTCACATTACAATAATCCTGCTTGAATTATCCTGACAGGAATGTCTCCTTGGTGTTCTGAATTCAAAAACAGTCATTTATGTCACTCATCAAGTAGAATTTTTACCAGCTGCAGATCTTATCTTGGTAAGTAGAGGACTTCTATCTCTGTTTTTAGTCATGCTCCTTGTTCTTTTACATCTGAACTTAGGAGATTCTTTACTATCAGGTCATGAAAGATGGAAAAATTGTTCAATCTGGAAAGTACGATGAAATTCTTCGTTCTGGAACCGACTTTATGACACTCGTTGGCGCACACGAGGAAGCATTATCCACCATTAATTCTGTGGAAGGAGATGCTTCTGGAAAATCTGCAAGCAAAGAAGATGGGTCTATGAGTAATACTAATGGCATTACATATGAGGAAGATAAAACAGATACACAAGATGGGAAGGGAGTTGATGAAACTAAGTCAAAAGGGCAGCTTGTACAAGAAGAAGAAAGAGAGAAAGGAAAAGTTGGATTTTCAGTGTACTGGAAATATACCAAGTATGCTTATGGTGGAGCTCTTGTGCCTATTATATTGCTTGCTCAGGTTCTCTTTCAGATTCTCCAAATTGGAAGTAATTACTGGATGGCATGGGCTACTCCTGTTTCAGATGATATGGAGCCTCCTGTTTCGACCTCTCGATTGATTATCGTCTATGTTGCTTTGGCCATTGGAAGCTCTTTGTGTGTCTTCTTGAGATCAGCCCTTCTTGTGACGGCTGGTTTTAAAGCAGCAACTGAACTCTTCGTTAAAATGCACACGAGCATCTTTCGGGCTCCCATGTCGTTCTTCGATTCTACTCCGAGTGGAAGAATCCTCAATAGAGTGAGTGAATTTATATTCATGGATGCTCTTGAACTAGTCACTTGAAACCTGTATAATCATAATTTGTATATAATTTGTATATACTGTTCTTTTGTTTACAGGCCTCCACAGACCAAAGTGCCATTGATATGGATATACCATTTCGAGTTGGGGCCTTCTGCTTCAGTCTGATTCAAATCCTAGGAACCATTGCAGTAATGTCTCAAGTTGCATGGCAGGTTTTCATCATCTTTATCCCTGTGATGGCTTTATGCATCTGGTATGAGGTATGCCTTCTGATCTTGTGGTTTGTCAGGGTAGGAAAGTTATAACGCCCACCACTAGCAGATATTGTCCTCTTTGAGCTTTCCCTTTCGGGCTTCCCCTCAAATTTTTTAAAACATTCGGGAGAATCTTCCACACCTTTATAAAAAATGATTCATTCTCCTCCCCAACCGATGTGAAATCTCACAATCCACCTCCTTCTGGTCTCGGCATCCTCGCAGAAACTCGTTCCCTTTGCCAATCAATGTGGGACCCCCAATCTACCCCCTTCGGGGCCAGCGTCCTTGCTGGTACACCGCCTCGTGTCCACCACCTTCGTGGGCTCTCAGCCTCCTTGCTGGCACATCGCCCAACGTCTAGCTCTGATACCACCGCTAGCAGATATTGTCCTTTTTGGGCTTTCCCTTTCGGACTTTCCCTCAAGGTTTTTAAAACACGTTTGCTAAGGAGAGGTTTCCACACCCTTATAAGGAATGTTTCGTTCTCCTCCCCAATCGACGTGGGATCTCGTAGTTAAATAATCTGAAAACAAAAATCTTTAGAGCTTCTACTGTGCAGCTACCTAACATTGAGCTTTTGTTATGCAGCAATATTATATTCCATCAGCACGAGAGCTATCCCGGTTGATTGGAGTATGCAAAGCTCCAGGGATTCAACTGTTCTCCGAAACGATTTCTGGATCAACAACTATTAGAAGCTTTGATCAAGAGTCAAGATTCCAGGACACCAATATGAAACTGACAGATGCATACTCTCGACCCAAGTTCCACACAGCTGCAGCAATGGAATGGCTCTGCTTCCGTCTCGATTTATTGTCTTCGATCACATTCGCCTCGTCTTTGATTTTCTTGGTATCTATCCCTGTGGGAGTCATTGATCCAGGTTCAATTTTCAAGCTGTTCTATCTTCAAACAATGATCTTGTACTTCTTTTTTCCAACTGCCTAATTTATTTTACTCTCTACACTGAAGGCATTGCTGGCTTGTGTGTAACCTATGGACTTAACCTCAATATGTTGCAAGCTTCGCTAATATGGAACCTTTGCAATATGGAGAACAAAATTATATCAGTGGAGAGAATATTTCAATATACTTCAATCCCTAGTGAGCCACCTCTAGTTATCGAGGAAAACCGACCGGATAGTAGCTGGCCAACGTTCGGAGAAGTTGAACTTCACAACCTGCAGGTACTTCAAATTCTTTTTATACCCTTTGATACCAACAGCTCCCAAATCTGATACCTGTGATTCTGTCCTGAACTTTTATCATGTAGGTTCGCTATGCACCTCAGCTACCTCTTGTGTTGCAAGGTATTACATGCACTTTTCCAGGAGGAAAGAAAACAGGCATTGTTGGGAGAACAGGAAGTGGCAAATCAACTCTAATACAGACACTTTTTCGGATAGTCGATCCCGTAGCAGGTCATATTGTGATAGATAACGTCAACATAACAACGATAGGACTTCATGATTTGCGGTCAAAACTCAGTATCATCCCTCAGGATCCTACTATGTTTGAAGGCACTGTGCGGAGCAATCTCGATCCCCTTGAAGAATATGCAGATGAAGACATTTGGGAGGTAACACGGTTTCCTCTTCTAATCATTCCCTAGAAAGAAGTCTACCTTGTTTTGTTTTGTTCAAGCATTTCATTGATGCATCAGGCACTGGATAAATGCCTACTTGGAGATGAAGTGAGAAAAAAGGAAGGAAAGCTGGATTCAGCAGGTATGTTTCTGGATGTTCTGGTGAAGGTTTCAATGAAGAGAAGTTCTTCAAACTTTCATTTGTGAATACAATGCAGTTAGTGAGAATGGAGAGAATTGGAGCATGGGTCAGAGGCAGCTAGTTTGCCTTGGTCGAGTGCTACTCAAGAAGAGTAAGGTGTTGGTCCTTGATGAAGCTACTGCATCTGTCGATACAGCTACGGATAACTTGATTCAACAGACTCTACGACAACATTTTTCCGACTGTACTGTCATTACGATTGCACATCGAATAACCTCAGTCCTTGACAGTGACATGGTCTTGCTTCTAAGTCAAGGTTCGTATTGATACACATATAGTCCACCAAACCATGTAACTTGTCCATCCATAACTTGACTTTCATTTCTCATCATGTAGGACTCATTGAGGAGTATGACACCCCCACAAGATTGCTAGAAGATAAGTCATCCTCGTTTTCTCAACTAGTTGCAGAGTACACGCAAAGATCGGATTCTCAATGAAAGCCATGGCAGATGATAAGAGCGTTAACGGACCCTTTTATTACATCTGACTCTACCAAATTTTGGAACTTGCTATACTTTTAACCACATAAAAATCTCAGGTTCTCAGTCCAGCTCTTCTTGATTAGCTGTTATTAGTATCACTAGCTGTTTATGTGAATTTACGAAGACTTGTGATGGCTACAAAGAACTAGTGTATTGTTTCCCTAAAGATGAATGAGCCATTTTGATTTAGATTGATACTAAGTAATATATCACGGATATATTGGGCTAACGTGTTCATATACGACAGATGAACCGTGTATAACTCAATGGTTAAGATATCTCAGTCTTCCTAATGGATCAAATACGCCCCTATGTCGTTCCCACCCAAATAGAGAGTGGAAAAGAGGAACTAATCAAAAGAAATTGCATGTACCAAGAATAAAACGCATAAATAAAGGATAGGCAAGAACTTTCAAACAAATTATTGATCTATAATCAGAGCTTAGTAAAAAAATTTGAACCTTTTCTTTTATGGAATTTGATCATGACATATCAGCTACGTTTTCAAGCGAATAGAAGGTAGATTTAAGCAATTCTATAAACAGTTTCCAACATACTTGGAACCACGAGAGCAGAATTAAATTCGACCGCGAGGCAAAATTGGTGGGTTGAACATTGTTTGATCGTCCTCTTATAGTTGCGAAATGGTTAGTGTGGCTTTGGAGTAAAGCCATCAACAGCAAAATTCCTGGTGGCCGCAGGAATGGCTAAACGTATTCCATCAAGTTCAGGTTTTGCAATAACTTGACATCCCAAGCGAGACCTGCAGTATTCCAACAAAGTTAATACCAACACAAAAACAGATTATAACATCATTTGATCTATGAAGTATGATTAAATACATGGTGTATACTCAGAAGATCAAAGGAAATATAGACATAAATCACAAACTTATGCACAAGTAACCAACGTTTCTGTAAGTCCGAATGCCAGATCCAACATGTCGTTCTCCTCATCCAAGGGTTCTTCTAGTTTATTGTAGTAGTCTGTATCCTGTGACGTGATTTAATCAGAGTTAACACAAAATTCCAGTCTAGAATTGTACCCATACACCCCCCCCCCCC